AATTACAAAGTTGAAGTGCATCAAAAACCGAAAAAAATTCGAAAAGTTGTACTAAGCTACGAGTATATGGCTATCTATAGCTGAGATAGAAAAATCCCAGTGTTTTGAGTATTTTATTATTTTATAAACAGTAAACTTACACAAAATAAACAGATCAATGATATATGATGTCAGCGCAAAAGTGTTAACTACTGGTTGGCATATCGTCAAGGACGACACGTGTACCAGAATGGCATCGACCCAGTGGTTGTAAACTCATAAAAGATACCAGGCTTATGATCTAGTACGCTTCATTCGTGTTTTGTCTACATACGATTCATGAGTGGCACTAGAATCACAGCAGTGATAATGCCAAATCTGTTACAAAGTTAAAGAGCATCTATAACAGAACAAAATATGACGAAAAATTAGTAGATTTGTAAAAATGTAATTGAAGATGATGCAATTGATTTTTGGGTATTTGCAAAAATGACTGCGCTGGTTGAATCTACCTCATCACACTATTTAAAAGAGGAGAGAGAGCTAGACCCATGCATAACTTGTGTAAATAACAAACCTCGAGGTCAAGGTGAATCGTCGCATTCTACGGTGTTTCATCCGAAAATTAATACCATTTTTAAAAATTAGAAGTTGTGTATCGTTCAATATTGTAGCCATAAATGAATCATGCTACCAAACATTGTGAAAAACTGAAATGCAAGATAAATACAACAAACGAACAGAGAGATTACAATTTACGTTGTCTTTAATTTATATATATTGCTTTGAGGCGGACGTTGAAGAGAACACTCTATGACCTTGATGGTAAAACAGCAATTGAACAATATCGACATTGGTGACCATAAAGATGGATGCTTATGAAGACATGTGGCGTTATTTTAGACAATTGTGATGTGTACGAGTTTCAAAGTTCATTTGAAAGTCTATTACTGTAAAGTAAAATAAAAATCTGTTGCTGTTGTCTGGATCTGTTTTAGCCGGTTAAATGTTATCGGTTGTTTAAGGTATCTGTAAATCCTCATTGAGATTTTCAGCAGAAAGACTCAAAGCAATAGTATTTGATATGAAGTAGATTTTTTAAGTTTCCGTGTATTTTCCCCAGTTGCACACGACATTATCTTTTGAGGTATCATATGGTCTAGTTGAAGCGTCGCCATCAGTAAACAAATGTTAGATTAAAAAAACTTTGCTCTGAAAAGAGTTTCTTTGTTTTTGATATTAAGAACAGTTATTTTCCCACAAGAAACGTCTGCAAATCTGTTCAATTGCGATATTTTCTATATTTATTAATGTAATGGTCAGCTGACTTAAAATGCAATGCAACACGGTCTGAATTGTGAAATACTGCTTATACATCCACAGTGTATTTTTAATGCTTATTTTTCTGTATTATTTTCGTTTTCTGTGCATATTCGATATATTGTTGCCCTTAATACGTTTACGATGGTGACGACCAGACTCTTAGTCTGGTTCAAAATTTTTCAAGGTTGATATCAATTACACTGAGAATGAGTGTCGACGTAATTAAATATGAAAGGTGGTTGTAAATCAAACTAGTAATTACCTATACCTAATATACATACACAACAATGGTGGTAATTAATCAGCCTAGTATGCAAGTAATGTATCGAAAAAACTTCAGTTTGTTTAATATTTCTAAAGTATTATTTAACATTCATTTTCAGTGTTTTATAGTTAATTTTGTCCCAAATAAAAATTGTGTGCTAGCCTCCCTCTTTGAATAATGTAGGATAAAAAATCCAAATGCCTATTGTTGGTTTCATAAAAATAGTCTGGCATTGTCAAAATTTACCAAAACAAACAAAAATCACCGAAACGGAATTAAAGTCTCAATAGAAAAACAAATATGTGGGGCATCGTATACACAACTTTTACCTTTTGCCCTAATTTTATCACTAAATAACAAAAAATGAATCATATTTTGTTTGTTGAAAATGGAAAATGCCGTGGAAACAATGTCACTGCTTGATCTTGATATTTCATATTCATCAATAAAAGTACAAATTTCAGTCAAATGACAATTATGGTACACAACTCTTTATGACGAAACAATATGTTTTGATCTACCCTAGATATTATCGCAGATCTATTAAAGAGGGAGTATCCCAACTTATGTGGGATATTCTCAACTTTTGAGAAATACACCTACATTTTACCAATTTATTGAGATAAACCAAGATTTTCTCTCGTAAATGACATTCTCTAAATTTTCTGCGAAAATCCCGGATCTTATCGAATTTAAGTAAAGCTGAGATAATCATGCTAAAAAAATCTTTGTTTAATTGAGATAAATTAAGATCAGTTAATAAAAGTGGTAACGGCGTGGTTCATTGAGAGATGTGACATCCAAATATAAAAAAAGGGATGAAATAAAACCATGAAACTATTTAACAGCCGATAATTAAGATAATTTGCATACTTGTTAGAAAAAAGGAAAAATGTACTCTTCCTGATTGTCATGTTTGTATGTATTACATGAAGAACGCAAATACAGAATAGCAATAACAAATGTTATCAATCTCGTTAAAACAACGTTCATTGTAATACTTTCTGAAACAAGAAATAGTTAGTTTTGTTTATTTATTAACCTTTGCACAGTAGCAGGTTATTCTCATGCGGAACATTGTATGTTTTAGTACATAAACGTAAATAACCTAAGGGTGCATTTCATACTTTATGGTTATCACCTCTATAGCCTTGAAATTGTCGGACGCATGAAATTATTAAACGTGTTGTTTTCAATTTTTTGTCAAAGTGAATAAAGCGATAAACATGATGTATATATTTTCCATTTTCTTACGAAAGACAAACTTTACTTTTATTTAATTACCTTGGTCTGTCATGTGAATAATATGCTATTATAAATATTAAAAGCTGTGGTAGAGACAACTCTCCCCCAGAGACCACCTGACGTAGAGGTTAACAAATATAGGTCTACAATGAGGACAACCAGTACCGCTTAGCAAGCTATGAAAGGTCCCAAAATGACAAACGTAAAATGATAAAAGATAATAACGACCTGATTGATGAAGAAAACATTAAACGAAAATCAAATATTATATACTGCAACAGACGACAACTACTAAATTACAGGCTGCTGACTTGGGACATGCACGTACAGAATGCGATGTAACAGCACAACATCAGAACAAGTATAAAAATCATTTGAAAAGGGCTTAACTCATCAGATACATACAAAACACAAAACCAATTTAGAAAAACACCAAAGACATAATGTACAGATCTGCGAGTACTCGCAGTAATTGAAGGAAGTTCGAAGCCAATAACAATAATAAAATGAATTAAAAAAAATCAAAAAGAAATTATGTATCTAAGACTAGAATATCAGTCAGTTCAATTCCAGCATCCATTACTACTTGGAGGCATCAGTCAAGTTATATCAAAAACCGATTGTAAGTATATTTTTATGCAATGCTTATTATAAATATATTTAGTAAAAAAGTAGAATAATTTCTAACGATTTTTTAAAGTTTATTTTCCCAAAATGCAAAGAAGATCTAGCATAAATGTCCTTTTGTTTTTAAAAAGAGCGAACGCAATTATATAAGGAAAATCTATAGAATGTTTCTATTCTTACTTTCACTTTCCGCATTTAAATTCATTAAAATTAGATATGTCGGTAATTTTGCATTGTCGAGAGCGAAAAAAAATCAGTTAGTATCATCTTTTAATTGGAGAAAAAGTGTGTTTTGTGAAATACCAAAAAAGAAATGACTTCTCATGAAATCTGAACAAATGATTTCAATTGGTATTTCAAAATAACTTATAACATTGTTTTAAATTTTTTTTTTTGAACTATTAATGTAAAGGTATACCTGTATCTAAAGAAAGGACTGGCTATCTTTCCAACATGAATAAAAACATCACTACTGTTTAACTTTCTTAAAATTAGAAAGTGTATTATTTTAAAGACATGTTTAACAAGTAAGAGCAATAGCCAAAAACAAGCCTTCTTTAAAGTACACCAAACTGTTTTATCCGGCTGTCAGTAGATATATGCCTTCATCAACAGAACAGTGAATCATCTTAGAAAAATTGTCTTTGGGAATTTTAATTTGATTGAGTGATTGCTTGATTATAAGTATTTAATGCCACTTTCAGTACTTTTGGATATATGGTTGCGGCCTGTTTTTATTGGTTGAAGAATCCTGGGTGATCGTAAAGAACCATCTTCCTTCGGCATGAAACTGGCAATCCTCCTCAATTACGATCAGAGCCAAACGCACCGGGCACGTACGGAGTTTGAACTCACAACCTCGGTTTTGACAGTCTAGTGATACAGTAAATGAAATACTTGATACCACTTGGCCATCGAGGACCCTTTTGAATTTAAAAATCATATACTTTAAACTGTTTAGAAAATGATAATTCAATTTTGTATTGGTTTATATCATTGATTAAAAAGGAATGACTACCTTAAGGTGTTGTGAAAAAAACGTATGTTGTAAAAATTGCATGCAGTCATATGATTTCCTTATAGTTTGTAGAATGTTTTGAATGCATTATCAAACTTTTACTTTCAAAAGCAAGTGTAACAAACGTATCACATGTGAGATAGCCATTGGTTTAGTTATTCCACTAGACGATGTAAAGAACGGGCCAATGAAACAGCAATTTAGCATAGAAAATACATCTTGAGGTCAAACAAATGTCTTCAACAATAGAAAAGTGTCTTACCACATGCTGAGCTCTAAATTGTCTTAAGTTTAAAACAATTCTTTTCTTCTGGTTTTTAAATTTTAAAGTAATAAAAAAGTTTGTGGAGATGATTATATCCATATTATCTGATTTTAGTTTACACCATGCACAGTAAGACACGACATTTAAAATGAAAACAATTATTTTCTGTTTGATAAATTCACTCAATTGTGAGTATGCTGTTATGAATACTATCTAAATTAATGACCATAGACTAACTAACAAAAGGTAGTATCAAAAGCACCACATTTGAAATATAGCAAAAAATAGTGAAGACTCTCCTCTTACTACAATGATGTTTTGTTAAAATCGATTTTTAACAAGTATGGGATGGAATAGAGAGTGAAGTAATGTTAAAAGATATTTTACAAGTCTGGCTAATCAACGCTTTCATTTATCTACATCACTTAATGATAAATCATTTATTATTTTTCATATCGGGTGAAAGTAGTATTTTGTACTCCTGCATAACCCATGCAGATGAGTGCATACACACGTATATCTTTGACAGCCTATATATGCTTTTAATGCATTTACTTTCATTGAATATTTTATCAATTGTATATAATCAGGTAGCATGGAGAAATTTCATTGCCTATCAAGACAAGTCTTCCATGTTTCATTAAAAAATTAACTTTTAAGATAAAGTAGAAGAGAAATTTAGAAATCAGCAAACAATAAAAAACCTTCAAGACCAGCATATTTGAAGGCCAGACTGTTACAATAATTATCATGTCAAATATGGAAATCTTGATAAAATTGGACACCATTTTTACGATATCGAGGACATGACGTCATTTTATTTGGGGTTTGATTAAGCCTTGCAACCGTGAATGATATCGATGGCTGATAAAGCACGATTGCCATTTAATCGTATAGCACATACAATTTATATGTATCAATTTCTTTTATAATATAGAATGGAAACGGGGAGTGTGTCAAAGAGACAACAACCAGATCAAAGAGCAGGAAAAAGACAAAAGCCACCAATTGGTCTTCACACTCAGCGAGAACATCCCGCACCCGGATCCGAGCATCAGTTGGCCCAACAATAATGTTTACTAATTCAGCTAAATGAACGCCATACTTAACTCCGCAACATACAAATGAACCAAAATTAAAAAAACTCACAAGACTAACAAAGGCTGGTGGTTTTGGACTTGGTACAGGCGCAACAATGCGTCGGGGTTAACCATTTTTTGGGAGATCTTAACCCTCCACAATACCTCTTGCCAATGTTTATTAACCAAATACACAGCAATACGCACAGTAAAAAGTAAAATAACAAAAATACCGAACTCCAAGGGATATTCAAAACCGAAAGTTCTTTATAAAATGGCAAAATCAAAAGCTCAAACACATCAAAGAAATGGAAAACAAATGTCATATTCCTGACTTGGTACAGGCATTTCCTTATGTAGGAAATGGTGGATTAAACTTGGTTTTACAGCTAGCTATCCCTCTCACTTGTATGACAGTCGCATAGAATTCCATTATATTGACAACAATGTGTGAGCAAAACAAACAGACATAATAGGTAAAGATATCAAAAATGGGGGTACATCATTGTATTATAATCTTAATCACTATACAAATAGATAACAATTTCAAAAAACAAAACAAAACAAAATGGGATATAGACACTCAAATGAAATACAAGAATACAAAATTGACAATAGCACAATAACACAATGGCGGGATGTATAAGTACCAAGCCACGCAAAAAGTAAATAACCAAAAATGGACAAAAACTGTAAAGGTTAAAAATGTACAAGGACAAATCAAAGGAACACTATAACACGTAATCCAGATGATAAACAACGTTAGTACCTAGAATCTTTATATCAAGACCATCATGTATTATTTGTGAGGTTGATACGGAATATTTATCAACAAGAAATTGGTATCTTCCAATGAACCTTTTTTAGAAAAAGGACGAGACGTTCTTTAACTTAACCTTGGCTCATCAACTTTTTACCCAGACACTGCAGACGCAGTATAAAAGAAGTCTGAATTCGATGTTAGAATAGGTAACAGAAGAAAATAGGCAAAATGACAATGATCAGCATAAATTAAAAAAGAACTACTAGCAATAACTGACATGCCAGCTCCAGACCTCAGTTAAACGGATCGAAAAATTATGTCTTCATCATATAAAAAGCAACCACAATCCCTCCCATTTAGGGTTTAGTATGTTTGCCATCATAATTTAGACGAGAAGAACATAACCCGGATCATGCCAACAACTGGTTTTAGAATAAATATGTCCGATGCAAAGACCCTATGAATGAATCAATTTGATTCCAAAAAAATATATAATTTTAATGACTTGACAACAGAATCATAATTATATCCCTTGTGAATAATTCTGTTTAAAAGTTTTGTTAGCGTACGCGTGTGAGATGAATGACGACATTTTTGTGCTTTGTATAAGATATTACCATAAAAGATAGGATGTGAAATTCCTAAACGTATAAGATGTCTGCACGTTTATTTATATTTCTGAATGATGTCCTTGTACCAATGATAAAAGTATGTCAAAGTTTGTACAAGTTTGTGATGTCAAAAATCATGGTGTAATAATTTTCCAGTAATACAGAGGTTTCTGTCGTTAAAATCTATTATGTTGTTACATACACGATCAAATCGAACATGTTAAAATATATCAGCACCATATGAAAGTGCCATGGGAACATCACCATCTTAAAACGGATAATTAACAAAAGAAAACAAAATCATCTCTTTAATCGTAAATTTTAGAATTAAGCTTCCCGTTAGATATATAGATATCAAGATCTAGGAAAGGGTAGTGTTCATTGTTAGTATTAGCTTTATTTAAAATGAGTTCAACAGAATAAGTTTCTTTAGTGTACATACTGAAGTCGTCATTATTTAGAGCCAAAACAGCATTCAAATATCTAAAAGTGTTATTATGATGAATGAAGTTATGGTGTCAAATCAAAGAAATGTGAATTTAATATGTTGTATTATTGGTTAGCTACTTTTGACAAGCTAGTATAGAACTTGAAGATATTACTTATAGTTTCAGATTTTAAGAACTTATTAATGAAAAAACACTATTCTTTCCAAATTACCAATAGTATATTAGGTGTGTTTAAGTAAATCTGATTATATATTAATGAAATAATGAATTAAAAATTTCCTATTTTCTTCTCAGCCTCGTATGTCCATCAAGTAAGTATTTTCTCTTTCGTAATTATGATTGGTTTCCATTGTAGCTATGTAAGATGAAGTCACTATGTTTTGTATGTCCTATATTTAGATAGTTAACATAAAATTTTAATTGTTTTAGTCAACTGTGGCTATTAACAGCATTGGCTGGATGTTTCTCATAATATCAAACAACGTAAAATCTTACCTTTGATTAATGCTGAAATGAGATGCATGATAGCTATGTATATAAGCTTATTCAACAAAGCTGTCAAAAATTTTGCTACACATCCTATAATTATTGGACAGTGATTCCTACATCATTACACTATTAGTTGAAATACAAAGATGTACTATATGGGTAATTCGCGAATTTTTTTAGTCCAGTTACCAAAGACAACAAAGTGCATATTTTTTATGGTAATCATGGTAATGAACAAAAACAGAGGAAATAATTCCACTACCACCGAAAAAAAAATGTCAACATCCTGTGACCAAGAAAAATGTCGTTTTCCTTCCAGGTATTGAGTCTACTTCAAATTGCTTTACAAAATATATTCGGTATTGTCGAACTGGTGAAAGCTGCGGAGTGTATATCTATCTATTTTCTCATGAAGCAAGTAAAATAATTCGTGAACCTTATTATCTATCTTTATTGTCTAGAAGAATTAAATAAGAGTCCATTTAGTATCTTCCGCTTTACTTTCTCATATTGCATTTTGAAATATTATCTTTTGATTTTTTTTTATGTTACGTATACGTATATTAAAGTGCTTTTCGATGTATAATCCATAGAAAAATGAAAAGCACGAACAACATTTGGCTTGAAAATAAGGTTGGTGACTTTTCAATACAATTCCTAAAAACTTCACGATATATACTACATTTCAATAAAACTTAAAATGTTTTTTTAATTTCTTGTATGCACTCTTTAAGGTATTACAGATTGTAACAAGAGGAAAATTAACTTAAAAATGCTTATAAATATATTTAAAGACAAAAATATACCTACTTTAATGCGATTGATATAAGTGATTGTTATGCACGAATACATATATAGATAGAGCTGGGAGGTGCGATGGGGACGCTGAAGTGCGATGGTCACGCTGAAGTACATTGGACGTTCGCTAATGGGCGATGGTCTCTATTACGCATGATGGCTATTAAAATCTAAAGATGTTCAATTATTAGGCCTTTGAGAAGTAGATTAGTGATTAGTAGATAAATCTGCATTCGTTATTGTCTATGTGAGATCATCCTCTTTGATTTTCTGCATGTGAACATAACTTTGCGTTAATAGTTATCTTTACTTGATTCCTCTCATGAGTTCTTCGCTTACCTTAATATTATAAACGGAGAGTCTGTCTGCAGGCCAGTATGTATCTTCAAAATGCCACGCTGCATCGTACGCGTAAAAATAATCCCTTCGTAGATTTCGAAAACAAATCCCTTACAGAAGGTTAATGTTTCCCCTCACCACCAATCACACCCCGTTTCCGGTAGTATTAACAGTGTAGTGTCCAACATATATATATCCCAAATTGAGGTAAATTATATGGCCTTCCAAATACCGTTTCGATTCCTAACATCACTGAAGAGACATTAATTGTCGAAATCCGGATATGGTGTACAAATTTTTGCACCTCATGTTTGCGGTATACCATCTTTTCCGCAAGTTTATTGTTTTCTGTTTGGTATTAAATTAATATAATTAAGATCCATTGTGTTACATTTGTGATTCGTTTATTTGGCAATCGCCATGGCAGTCAGCAGGGTCTAAGAACATCCGTTGTTCGACCTGCTAGTCAAATGCGTTTTGTTAAAATATACTTTTTCACTTTTTTGGTCTTCTGGAAAATGTTGTTTGTGCTGTATTCAGACCCCTTTACAAAGAAATTTGTTTTGCATGCACACGTATAAAAATTGCGGTTTTTATCCAACGCAATCATAGGTTTGAACGTTGTTTTCAATTTATACTTGTTTATATTTTGTCGTTTGGGCTTGTATTATATTTACCTTCGGGTTTATATGATCCGTTCATCCTACTTTGACTCTTCAAAATTCAGGAGTCCATCCCAAATTGAGGTAAATTATATGGCCTTCCAAATACCGT